TCATTAGGGATGTCCCCTAATTCTTTCCACATCTTCCTCTCCTTTTCCCTCTTCCAATGCAAGACCCCTTGTGTTTGAAAGGAACTATTATCAAGCTCTGGGCATGTGATTGCCAATACAAGATGACCTGGGATGACTTCTCCCTCTGGTATAATGTCTAGAAAAATTCAAGATGGAGGCTACTTTGTCAGGGTGAGGACTACAAAAGCATATGCCCCTAGGACCCAGTGATCATGTGGGGAAATCTATACCTGTGTTGTCTTAATTACTTAGTTCAAATGTTTTACCCAGCCTTACCTAATTGTTACAAGAGGTAAGAAACCTCAAGGTGGCTGAGCAGATGCTGACTGTGCCATCCCTCAGAGTGGAGATGGAAACTTTTGAGTCTTTATTAAATGTGCCAGGCATTTATTTATATGTCATATAAAATGTTTATGTATATGTCATTTATTTATATATTTTAACTTTTAGTCATTCAACCACCTTAGGAGGTGACTATTGTTAGGATTTCTACTCTTCTCGTGGAGGGAGCGGGATGGGAAGGTTAAATACTTTGCTGAAAGTAACACAGCTAATAGATGTTGGAGCTAGGATTTGAACAATGGCAGCCTGGTTCTGGATTTTCTACCCTTCACCAATTATAAACTGTAACTAATATAACATCCTCCATAGACTTAATGCTAAATGTTATTTCAGGCTTTAACATCCCTTATTTTTGTTGGTTTCACACAAACTGCATTTGTAACTCCGTCCCTAACATTGTTCCCTTCCTTTGTCTTACAGAAATGATTTCTAATTCTCTCCTCATATGAGCAACATCAAACTTCACTATTAATCTCTCCATCCCTGCTTCACACCCTATCCATGGCTGACTCCATTAGCTAAAATCAGGATCAACAGTTAGATTCCAGTCATATGGTTGTTAGGTTCTGTTAAGCCAACTCCAACTCATCACAGCCCATGTACAACAGGCTGAGCCTTGCCCTACCCGGCATCTCCTCACAAGCTCCACCTGCTCTGGTCCACTGTTACAGTCATTGTGTCACTCTAGCTCAATGACTCTCCACTTTTCCTAGCATAATGTTCTTCTCAAAGGTCTGGCCTCTTTCTTTTAGTATTTTTTCAGAATTTTAATTTTTTTAATTTTAATGAAAGCTTACAGAGACTTTGAATTTCCATTCATTCATTGTTGC